ATACACTCTTAAAAATAAAGGTGCTTCACGATCCCATAGAAGAAACGTTTTGTCTGAAAGGTTCTTTGTGGCGAAAGAAGGTTCTTCAGATTATAAAAAGTTAAGAAAGAGATGGTTCTTTAAAGAACATTTGACTGAATGGTTCTTAGTGGAACCAAAAATGGTTCTTCTATATGGCATCGCTGTGAAGAACCTTTTAAGCACCTTTATTTTTAAGAGTGAACATGCGTGAAAGTAGAATAAGTGAATAGGTGCCTTTATTAATTAAACAGCAAGGAATACTGTAGTGTAGTGTACAACAGGTGGCGCATGGTCAATTATTACAGTGTCAATGCTTTAACCAGCTCCTATGGCCTTACATGTGCCATCAGAAAAAAAAATTTCAATTGGAAACTATAAATATACTCATGCATACTAGAAGTCTAATATTACAATAGGCCAACACACATCTAAAACAACAGAGCTTTAATCTCAAATTTGCAAATATTTAAGTATAGTACTGATGATAAAAGTTTGAACATTAAAAAAAAAAAAAAAATTTTAATGATCATTTAAAAGTATGAATATTTTTTTAAAATTATAAAAATAAATGTTATTCAGAAACATCTTCAGAAGCTTTTTGAGAAATATGAATGTAGCTTATCAGCCTTTTGATCTTTCTGTATGCTGGTTCATGAATACTTTGCAAATTTAAGATTAAAGCACTGTTGTTTTAGATGTGTGTTGGCCTGCACCTAAATTTTTAAGATGTTTCATGTAGTAGTGTTTAGTTTTAAGTAGGCCTACTAACTGTAATACGCTAAAAAAAAGTTATAAATGCAGTAGATTATTTTCTAAATAATAATTTTTAATAAACATTTACATACTTTTTTTTAACATTACTTAACAATATAAATAATAATCATATAGCAATGATTGCTTAACAGGTCATTAATTTAGTGGTTTTCAGCCATGAGGCCAGGGAGGGTGGGGGGCCTCAGCAAACTTCCAAGAGGCCTTAAGATCACTTAAAATAATTCATATTAAATTTTTTTCAAGTGTGATTTCTAGACCCAGAAATACATCTAAAACTTTATGTAGGCTACATCGACATTTTATAATGAATTTTATAATGAATACATTTTACACCATATTTTGTTGTGTATAAATTGTGAATAAAACATTTATTTTTTAAAATCCATATCCTTACTAAGGGGGCTCTGTTGTGGACAATGGTGTCAAAATGGTTGAGAACCACTACATTAGTTATAAAATTAGAATTGAGTTCATAGTTATAAATCCAACGAGAATGCAAGAAAATGATATGTTTTAGATATCTTCTCTGTAGACCCCCAGAGTACCATCACAGGGGCCCGTGAGGCCCACAGACTCCGCGGTAAAATCATCTACGAAAACATAGGTTACTCACTCTATCTATTGGATGTATGTGGGGGAGAGACCAGTGCTCTGCACGGAACGAAACAATGTACCGACACCGTGCGCGCACGTGACCGCTCTGACAGGGAGAAGCACTGCGCACAACCTCACATTCGTATCCTTCCGCCCTTCAACGCGAATGTCGCTTAATTACCATCGCGCTTGGGAACTCGCCTCGTTTCCTTTCTACACAGCGTGTTGTAGAGGTTTAATTTTTTTCTTCGGCTGATATTTTTTAAAAGCGACTGCTCGTATCGCTTATTTAAACACCAAACGGCACGCGTCCGCGCACTATTTCCGCTCGTGGCGGTAAGATATGTTTTTTTTCTCTCTGGGTAAACGTGCCGGATTTACGTTCTTTTTTCCTCCGTGGGAAGCCATGATGGCAGTTTGAGAGCGGAGCTGCGGAGCGCCCTGAGGAGAGATGAGTCCCGCCGATAAACCGCACACCGTCACGCTTCTCCAAAGGCTACCGTCGCATATCTAACACAGTTCAGGTGGAGACTGTCAGTTGTCATTTTTCACGGAACCAACTTGGCCATCCAGCGACGACGATGATCATTCGTTAGGAGGGTTTTGAGGGGGGGTTTAGCAGCGGTGGCTAGCGGGCGATGCTAGTCGGGAAAGGCTCGCCTGTGTGTTTTCTTCTTCGCGCGGAGATGGAGAGGATTCGCTCCTCTCTCTGGACCTGATCACGGCGCGCGCGCCGGACACACAGACTTCTGCCATACTATTGTTGTTGTTATATCGGATGCGTTCCGGTTTGACCGGGCCGCGGGATCGGAGGACATTTTCAGCAGCTCGGAGGACTGAGCGATCGGGACCGGGAGAGTCGGGCCTGCTGGGCCGATACGGATAGAGGCCCGTCTGCGAGAAGCTGTAATCCGGCCCGCTGCGCGAGACCCACCGGGACACACACACACACACACACACACACACACACACACACACACTAACTAAAGGGTGAGAGAGACGCAGAGCCATTCCGAGCAAACACAACCCCCTTTCTAACAAAAAAACGGAATAAAACTGAAGTATTTTGAACTGCTGTCATGGCAATGACTGCAAAAATTAAAGAAATAGTCAGTCGGAATAAGAGGCGATATCAAGAAGATGGGTTCGATTTGGACTTAACTTGTATCCTTACTCATATTTACTGTCTGAGCTACTTTCTGCTCTATTTTATATATATTTTATGTTATATGTATGTGTGTGTCATATCTTGTAAACGATAGGGCTTTGTGAGAATGATGGTACGCTTTCCCAACATGGCTTCCTTCTTTTAATGTCTTTGTATATGTTAGGCAGAACCTTTTTAAAATGCTTAGTCATGACGCTCTTACTGTCTTAATAATGAAATATCTTTTTTAACCTCTCTTGTAGGATGCAGATGTCGGGTTTGACAGCTACATGGCTGTAATGGCAGACAGTCTTTCCAGACTGCCAATTTTACATAAAGTGTGAGATGCTCTGTCAATTTGTTGAACATCAAAGTGTGCTTGACAGCGTCTATATGAGCTTAGCACAACAGTGACAGCAGTTTGCTGAAGAGATTGAACAAATCGGTTTGTATTGACAAATCCGTGATTTCTTCTACTAGCTAATGACAGTACTATTGATCATGTACAAAAATGAGAGGTCTATTCAGTGACCTTAATGGATAATGCAGTGTGGAGTGTGTTCTAACCTGGCTATTCTTAGAAATATTTGAATCAATTGGTTTCCTGACATGCATGTGAAGAGAAGTTGAGTTGGCCAGGATGCCCTGTGACTCCATAGAAGGTCCAAGAAAATATCAAACATCTTTAGCCTATCAAAAAGGTGATTAATCAGTCATGTGTCCAGGTCAGCATGTAACCTGCTTTGTCATCAAGTCCAAATGCTGTGGGCAAGTGATAAATTATTGTAACGACTCTGATGTCCAAAAGATAAACATTTTATTTATTATATCTATAATAGTGGTTGACCGATATCAGGCATTGAAAAACGCTCAACTCATGAACTCACAAATCATTTCAGTTTTAATGAATTTTAATAACAATTGCCAAAGCTGTCAGTTGAATTAGAATCTGACATAACTAAACTGACTCTCAAAATGTCCAAATGTCAGCTGATTAATCATCTTGGCCTAGATATTGATGTAATATTAATCCATAAAACAAAAGGAATATTTTATTGTTCGTACGCATTTACATGCACAGAAAAACAGAAGTTTGGTGGAAATTCCCTTTTGATTGTGAACTCATCATGACTATTGAAGGAATTATAGATCTTCATTTGCTCTCAGCATTTAGACCTCTTCCTCATTTTCATCTGGCCTTTTGTTTTAACAATCTGGCTCTTGTGTGCAAACACCATTAGTGCAGGGGGATGTAGGTAAGGTCTGTCTAACTTTCTCAATTCGGAGAATGAAGCAGATGTGATTGTTCTTGTGCAGTTTTTGCACCAGCAAGCGGTTCGACATTACTGCTGCTAAGCCTTGTAGATTTGAGGAAGTGTGGCAGGTCAGGTGTTTGACAGTAAATGTTGTCTTAGACAAGCATGTTTAAATGGGATGAGATGACAAGTTGTAAGAGTAATCTATCCGATTCTTAAGTGAGGTCGGTAAATCCTAACTTCTGGGGTTTTTCGAAATAGTCGAAACTCCTGCTGGTCATTGTTAAGCTCTGTGATGATCATGGTTGTCCACCATTGCCTTTTCCCCTGCTGCAGTAAATTTCACCTCTGGTTTGCAAAGCTACACCACTGGCGTACTGAGCATGCTGGGAAAGGTCAAATGTCATACAAGCTGTCAGAGCTGCAGATTTTTAATGCCTCTGTCTCTTCATCAGACATATTTATTTAAATGACCGTATTCTCTGTTGCTCATGTTACATTTGTGTTTTCAAAAGTCGCAGCTTTACTTTCTTTCGCCTTTGCTTGATTTCTGAGATTTTTTTTTAGTCTATGTGTGTGGTTTAAGTGTCATTTCAGTATACTTTCATGCAGCTATGTTCAGAAGGGTGGAGGGTGTTTTAGCAATCTGGGTGGAAATGGTTTACATGTTAAAACCGCTGGCTCCATCAGTGTGACTGTGTGTACATTGCTCGGCTGACATTGAGATATTGCTTAGCAGCTGATGAAAGAGAGGGATGCAATGCAGATACCTTGTTCTGTTGTCTGTGGTGCACGTTACTTACATGTGAAGAACGTGCCTTGATTGATTGTATATTTTATTTACATTGACATTCCATCTTTTATATACATAAAATGTGCACAAGAAAATTGTCATCGAATGTCAATGAATGCTTGGTTTTAAATGATTGAATGAGTGGTTTTAAAATGTATTCAGAGAAAATGATATAGAATTTTGATCGGTTATCTGCCATAACACACACAAAAAAAATATTAGCTTATCAGTGTATCTCTACTTTTGTCCTGCCTGTGTGCCCTGATCATTCTTCTCTGACATGGAGGAAGCTGTGGATTTCGCCTTTTTTAAAAGTGTTTTCAAGGCTTGTTAAACATGGGAATCTGTTGCAGTTACAGATTAGACAATCAGGTTGTTTGCTAGAAGTTTGATTATTGAATTTGTTGTCAGAAGGACATAAATTGCCCCGCTGTGCTTTGGGAATCCTTGTAAACGCTTTCTTCGCCATTGTCTTATTTTCAGGTGTCATTGAGGTGACATTTTCCTTTCCATGTACAATCCACTCACCATGTACATGTACAATACAATTCACCCACCTTTTCCTTTCTTTTTTCTGGTCTATTGTGGTTTGTCGTGGGTATGTTAGTTTTGAACACCAGCTATTTTAGTGCTTTAGATTTCTTTAACAGTACTTATGATGTATGAGTCGCTAACCGTTTTAAAGGAATTGGGCTAAAAATAAGCGTGACTCATCCAATTAAAAAGCTTCTGGCTTTCTATTCTGACATTGTACGACAGGAAATGAACAGAACAGAGAAGCCCTGCTTCTCTCCCTCTTTCTCCACCGTGTTGTGGTCGAGGTGTGAACCTCCCCCAGTCTGCACACATCATGGTAGCGAGAGTGTACAGTAGAAATGCCTGCAGATGCACAGCGAGCAAGGGAAGTGAAAAGCGAAAGAATTGATGAGAATGAGGCTCTGTAAGGAGACATTGTCTTGCCTTGTCAAAAAGCTGCATGATTAAGTGTGAGCTGCATTTGAGCGCAGTGGCTGCTTGGTGACCTTTGACCTGGTTGGTGTAGGTAAGGATTGTAAAGCAGATTGACCTGGCTTGCGTAGGTAGAAAGTGCTGACACTCCTGTGCCTACGGTCTGACGTCTTTTGTCTTTTTGATTGTCATCTTGTTTTTTTTCTTGTCACTTTTGGGTGAACTACTCCTTGCGAGTATAAGTTTAACTTGTAAGTCTTGTAAAGTGTTGTACAGTCACCTTATTTTCCTTAACAAGCATATCAGACATATACCCCAACATAATTGCCATGGGCTTCCCTGCCGAAAGGTTGGAGGGAGTCTACAGAAACAACATAGATGATGTGGTTCGGTAAGTTCATTTGGAAAAAAGTCCTATCTCTTTTAGTTCATCCCACTGTATATTTGACATTGACAATAAAGTGTTTTCGTAAGTTAGAATTAATCACGATCTCCAAAAGAAAATACTGTCATTTCAGTCTTTCTCATATGTTGTTGTTTTCTTTCCAGATTTCTAGATTCGAAGCATAAAAATCATTATAAAATTTATAATCTGTAAGTATTTGTTATATTTGAGTACGTACACAATATAAGTGATTATTGTAAGAATATTGGGTGCTCAGAGCTGTGCTTTTCCTTCCAGATGTGCTGAGAGACACTACGATGCATCCAAATTCAATTGTAGGGGTGAGTACATCTAGTTTCATTTTACAGTATTACATTTTAATTTTTAAACTGGAGCTTTTAGGGCTTTTGTTTTTTGTCTGGAAAGTAGTGAATGACATAAGTACTTCACCGCAGTGTCTCTTTAATTACACCTGAATGAAAGATATAAGCTCTTTTCTTTTAGCTGACATAAACAGGTCCATTTGATTTTTAAAGCTGAAATACAATACACAAGTTTTGCCCAGATTTGCAGTCTGGAGGAGTCTGCGCTAATTGCGGAAAGTCATAGCCAGTCTACAGATTTTGGGTGGTCAGAATCGACTACAAATCGCCTTGTGTGTGATAAAGCACAGCATTTTTTGTAGATTCAGACTGATACAGGATTTTAGAAAGTGATGAGGGGTGGCACATTAACATTCACTTTTTTTCTTAAGTTCGCAGTTGATATTAAACATTACATATAACTGATCATACTGATTTCAGTGTCTGCTTCAGTTGTTCAATGAGATGGTTTGGTATTGATGATTATTGACGGGAAGTTGTTAAGTAAAGATTTTTGTGCTAATCACATGCAGTGACAAACAATAACACTTGGTGTCAAGTCTTTCCTAACATAAAACCGTTAAATGAGTTCTGCTGTTTATTAAAAACACAAAAAGCAACTGGTTTGATGTCTGTTTTAGTTAGTGACCATTCACAGTAGCAGATTTTTATTACATGATTATTGTGGCCAAAAGAATTCACAATAATGGTATTAAATATTGAACATTTTTTACTTTTTTTTCTTTTTCTTTTCTTGCCTATGGTTTGCCCTCAAAGTATGACTGAAGCGAGGCTACAAAAAGCATACAAAATAACTGCTTATCAACACTTCCTTCAGAACAAGTTGTCTAACATCTCGTTTTTCTACAAGATCCAAAAAACTCCCACATCGGAGAGCAAATTTTTTTCAGATGCCGGTAGTGTGTCTTGCTTTCATCATCTTTTCCGACATGATTTTGTGTCTCAGTAGTAGCTACGTGCTGCATCATTGTCTTTTTTCTGTTTCATGACAGGTGGCAACTTGCATTAGAGTCCAGTTTTGCCACCTACTTTGTTTTATTGTCGACCAGATTATTTGACATATTATTATATGTGTAGTATTAACATATCAATATTTCATGATATCAGTACCGGTGTAATCTCGATCATTACGTTCTCATTCTTAGACCTATTCTGAAGGACTATAAAGGTGATTCTAAAGGTGATTTTAGTACCGAGTACTGAATCTGAACTTTTTTTGTCTTTAGTGGCTCAATATCCCTTCGAGGACCATAACCCGCCACAGTTGGAATTAATAAAGCCCTTCTGCGAGGATCTCGACCAGTGGCTGTCCGAAGACGAGAACCACGTGGCGGCTATCCACTGCAAGGCAGGCAAAGGCCGCACAGGGGTCATGATATGCGCCTACCTGTTGCATCGCAGGAAGTTCTCAGAGGCACAAGAGGCACTGGACTTTTATGGGGAAGTCAGGACCAGAGATAAAAAGGTACAACGGTTTGGTTCTGCACAGTGTTAATTTCGTTGACGAAAATATAAACAATTCAGATGACTAAAATATGACACAAACTAAATGGCATTTTAGTCAAAAGACTATGACTAAAACTAAATTAAAAATTGCTGTCAAAATTAACACTGGATCTGCATTCTATTTATGATTTTGCGTCGATGATGAGGTATCACAGCTAGATTGCATTGCCAAGTATTTCTGTGTAAGTTACTAAGCCATTTTCCTTTTTCTTTTTCAGGGGGTCACCATTCCCAGCCAGCGCAGGTATGTGTATTACTACAGCTACCTGCTGAAGAACAAGCTGGAATATAAACCTGTTGCTCTCCTGTTCCATAAAATGGTTTTCCAGACTCTGCCCATGTTCAGTGGGGGCACCTGCAGTAAGTCTTAATGTCCTTTAACCTCGTCTTAAACATGACAGTGTGTCGCAATTCAGCTTTTTGGAATGATGGTGTGTAAAGAAAGCATGTTTGTATATATGTTGTACATACAAAAGCCTGAGATGTTTTGAAAGTATGTTATTTGATAAAATGAACCTGGATATGCTGTCATGTGGGGTTGTGGTTACACTCACAAGGAGCTACCGTTGTGCTTGTCATTTTAACCCTGTACCACATCTTTCGGCTATGTCCCTAACACTCTTAACACTCATGGGTACGCTGTCTTTCTCTGTTCCTGTTTTCTTTTCTTTAAAAATTTCCCTTGAGGACTCTGTTCTGACATATCAGCTCCTGTAGCCCACAACACAGTCTTGTGTATAACGACATCACAGATCGCGCCCTCTGTCCTCCCCTCCCCCCATTCGTACATAGTGTGCTAGTTCATGTTTTTGTTCACGTTCGTGGATCTGTACGCAACAGCCAGGCTGAACGTCAACCCGAACTGCACCCTACATCACTCCCATTTTTGGGAAGTACTTCATGTATCGAAATTGGAACTAAAAGTGCAGAGTCAGTCTCAGAACTCCTATGATTCAAAGGTAGACTCCAGAGTTCCAGACCATGAGTGTGTGTGTGTGAGATGGCTGTCATGCCAGGGCCAGTGCGGTGTAGAGCCGAGCTCTTGGCCAGGCTGATGGTGGTGGTGGTGTTTAACTTCCTTCTCTCTCTCTAAGGGGACAGTACTGTTAAAAACAGGAGTGAGGTGAATCCCCAGGGCTTCAAGAAAGGCAACTGGCACTGGGGTAAAACGGCATTACTTTACTACTACTACTGTTAAGGGAATCGTCTTCAAATGTCAGAGAGGCCCTGCCCTGTACTGCATTCGATACAGTTCAGTACAGCATTTGATGCTCTTGTCTCTTTCAGGCAGGAGCCCAGAAACATGAACTAGAAAGAAGTCTTAAATATTTTATCTGCTCTAAAACCCTTCGAGATGTTCTGTTTTAATTGAGAACAAAAAATAGCAGTTTAATAATTATAATGATAGAATTCTAAATTAATCAAGTTACTCTGAATAAATTTGCTGTGCATTAAGTGGGCGGTATGACCTAAATTTCATATTATGGTATGAATTACATGTTTAAAGTATCAAATATACTATTTTACTGTTACATTATTGTTATTGTTACTAATTATATTTCATTTTTTACAATATATGTACTATATATATATTAATATATAGTAATACATATATATTATTAATATATGTACTATATATATTATGTTATATATGTACTATTGGTTAGTTACCTAGTTAAAAGTTTGTGGGTGGTAAAACATGTTTTTAAAAGAAGACACTCATCAAGGCTGCATTTATTTTATCAATACAGTAAAAACGGTAATATTGTGAAATATTACAACTTTTCGAATAACTTTTTTCTATTGTAATATATTCTAAATTGTAATTTATTCCTGTGATGGCAAAGCCGAATTTTCAGCTACCATTACTCCAGTGTCACATGATCCTTCAGAAATCATTCTAAAATGCTTATCTTGTTTATGTTGAAAACAGTTGTTCTGCTTAATATTTTTTGTGGAAGCCTAGATACATTTTTTTTGTTTCTTTAATGAATAGTTCAAATTAAATATTTATTCAAATGAAATAGTTTTTTGTGACTGTGAAAGTCTTTACCTAATCAATGTAATGCATATTTGCTGAATAACAAAAAGTAATTTCCTTTCTCTTTTTTAATTTTTGAACGGTAGTGTGGTCTAGACTTTGACATGTCAATAATACACCCACAACACTAGGTGGCGCCAAATACGCATAAAACGAGTGTGCCATGAAATACGTAATGTAATGCGTGTTGTAAAGATCGCGAGTAAAAACAAAAGAAGCAGAAAACCTTACAGCTGCATGAGTCGTGCCTGTCAGGTTAGCCTGCTGGGACCAAACTCCCTTTGTGATTTTAAAACGTAAGACAGTACCAAGATTTGACGACTACAGTAAGATTTAACTTCTACTGTTCATAAGATTTTGGTAGGCTACTATTAGATGGATAGCCTCAATGTCCTAATTCAGATGGGCTACCTGTTTTTTTTGTTTTTTTTATGGTATATCAAGAAGTGTATATTTTTTAAATGTGATTTGTTGGTACATTTTACCAGTTTTTACCATACTTTCAAAACAAAAATTAAAATAGGAAAAATATGCAATATGAAAATAATTGAAGACAAAATGTGTTTTACTGAGAAAAAACAAGATTTGGTTTTTAAAAAGCCTTTTTCCAAAAGGTACATCTGGAAAAAGGGGGGTCGTCTTATAATCAGGGTCGTCTTATATTCGGGCCAATACGGTATGAAAGACATCGTCAAAATAGTCCATCTTCATAAAATTCAGAACCACTAATGCAGATGGACTATTTTGACGATGTCTTTCATACTTTTCTGGGCCTTGACAGTGTTATTTACTAGGCAGTCTTGGCATTAATGACAAAATTTTCATTTTGGGGTGGAGTAACCCTTTAAATCGTGCAGCTTCAGTACTTTTGTTTTAACTGATGTACGCTTACAGTCATGTTTTATTTATCTTCTTGGGTTTAGGGTGTTGATCACGTGACTGGCCAAATATTACTCTATCACAGTATCTTATTTTTCTCTAAATGACTCATGGTTGACTGTGGTATATGTGTATATATACACACTACTAAGGTTTGATGGTGTCAAAGGTTTGGGGTCAATAACACTCTTTATAGAAAAATAATATTTAGGGCTGCACGATAAATCGCATGCGATATTTAACGTGCATCTTATCAGTAAAGCCGGTTCTGTAATCAGCGGTAAATCTCCATCACGTGCGTGCTTTCACATTGAGCAGCATTAACTACACAGAGCCGTTGTTTAGTGACGAGCTGCGCAAAACCACTTTCATATTCGCGCGATTTTTTGCGCAGCTCGTCAGTGAACAACGGCTCTGTGTAGTTAATGCTGCTCACTGTGAAAGCACGCACGTGATGGAGATTTACTGCTGATTACAGAACCGGCTTTCTGACAAGATGCGCATTAAATATCGCATGCGATTTATCGTGCAGCCCTAATAATATTTTAGTAGCAAGGCTGCATTAAATTGATGAAAAGTAACAGTTAAGATATTTACATTGTTATTATTATTTTTTTTTAAACTTTTTTAATTTCTGGAATTAATTTAAATTTTTGAATATTTAAACCGAAAACAAATATTTAAAATTTTAATATTTTACAAAATTATTGATTTTACTGAATTGGATCAAACATTATCTATCTATCTGTCCGTCCGTCCGTCTGTAAAATATTAAGCAGCACAACTGTTTCCAACATTGATTATAAATCAGCATATTAGAATGATTTCTGAAGGATCATGTGACACTGAAGAGTAATGATGCTGGAAATTCAGCTTTGCTTCACAGGAATAAATTATAAAGTATATTAAAATAGATAAAAATTAAATTGCAATAATATTTCACAAAATTACAGTTTTTTTTCCTGCATTTTTGATCAAATAAATACTGCCTTGATGAGCAGAAGAAACTTCTTTAAAAAACATTAAAATCTTCCTGATCCCAAACTTTTGAACGGCAGTGTATTTAAAAAAAAATGCTGACTCGTACATTAAGAATCCGTTTAATTTCGTGCTCTGCAAAGCACTCATATTTATGCTACCTTCTGTCTTTTGTCTCTTGTCAGGTGAAGCTTTACTTCACCAAGACCGTGGAGGAGCCCTCAAACTCAGAAGCGAGCACTTCAACTTCTGTCACTCCGGATGTGAGTGATAATGAACCCGATCACTACCGCTATTCAGACACCACTGATTCTGACCCAGAAAACGAACCTTTTGATGAGGAACAGCACGCACAGATTACAAAAGTCTGAACACTTTTTGGCATCTACACCCCACACACACACACACACACACACACTCACACAAATACATGCCGGACAAAAACAAGAAAAACCAACCAACACCAGTGAAATAAAAAAAGGAGAAAACTTGAAAATAAACTGAAGAGAAAAGGACCCTTCCTCCCCTACCCCTCCTACAGCTCGAGGACAGTCGTGTCAAACGCCATTGATCACGGACGAAGAAAATATCCTGACCAATATGTTATTTTACTTCATTTTGATCGATGAATTTCGTGTTTGGATAACAACACCGTTGCCTGAGGTGGGAGGGAGGGTCCTGTAGCTATTCTGTGTATATAAAATCCCTTTTTTGTGTCAAAGACGTTAAAAATCTAGGCAATCAGGAGAGGGGAGGGGAGGAGAGGAGAGGTAGAGCAGACCACACATCTCTCCTTCTCCCTGTCTTCACCCAGGCCAGTGCTGCAATCACCCTCTCCCCCTCTCCCTCGCTCTCGCTCTTCCCCTCCTTACTGTGAATGCTTCTTGTGCTGTCTGCAGGCGCTAAGACCTTTGACCCCTTCCTGCGCGGTGTGTGCTGGTGTACGTAGTCTTTCAGGCTGTTGTACAAAGGCTACGGCGTGCCAGCGTTCCTTTTCCTAGCCTCACAACCTACCCCGCCCCCACCCCACTGTGTATAACGATAAATTATGCAGAAAAACACGACATCCCATGTAATTGTCGTTTTTTTTCTTTCTTTTTTTTATTTTTATCCTAAGATAATAAAAAATATAATACATGAAAGCGCAGGGAACCAGTGTTTGCAATAATGTTAACACTCAACATTTAAAGGACAAATTGGTGTGCATGTCATTGGAGTCAGTGTCCATGTTTAATAAATGCTATATGATGTGTTTTTATTAAAACAGAAGTGTCAGAACTCTCTTAAACGGTCGTCTGAGATCAATTCACAAAGGTAAATCGGTATCAAGACTTCAGTTGTGATTGTTTGTATTGCACTATATATATATATATTAGTGCTGTCAAAAGATTAATCGCGATTAATTTTGTTTACATAATATAAGTGTGTGTACTGTGTATATTTATTATGTATATATAAATACACACACGTGCATGTATATATATTTCAGAAAAATATGCTGTTTATATATTAAATATATTTATATATAATATAAATTATGAATATAATTATATACATGTACATATTTTCAAAAATATATACTGTATATGTGTGTCTTTATATATACATAATACATGTGCGTGTACTGTGTATATTTATTATGTAAACAAAAACTTTTATTTTGGATGCGATTAATCGCGATTAATTGTTTGACAGTACTAATATATATAAACACACATACATACATACAGTATAGACACCACATTGGCCGATATATATTAATTTGAATTTATCAGTGTTATATTTAGTTAATGCTCACTTCCCTTATTTTACACTGTTAGCTGAGCCTTTAACAAGTTGAGCCTTAAAACGCGAACAATACTTAGATGTTCATTTTATTTACTGAAGATTACATTTGTTTTCATATTGTACATGATAATGTTATGCCAGAATTTAAAATTATTTTTTTTCAGTGATTAAAAAAGTGCACTATAATTTGGGGTTGGTAAGTTTTAAAAAACGAAACTTTTTTATTTATTTTTTTATGTTTTTGAACATTACTCTCACCAAGTCTGCGTTTATTTGATCAAAAATACAGTAAAACAGAAATACTGTGAAATATTACTGTTTAAAATAACTATTTTATATGTTAATATATTTTAATATAGTATTTTGATCCTGTCATGGCAAAGCTAAATTTTCTGTAGCCATTATTCCAGTCTTCCATGTCTCATGATCCTTCAGAAATCATTCTAACATTTTTATGATCATGTTGAAAACAGTTGTGTTGCTTAATATTATGTAAACTGATTTTTTCCTGATTTTTTTGATGAACA